CAGAAAACCTCCGGGTCAAAGGGTCTTTCCAGCTCATAACGACCCCTGGATGGCCTGCAGCACTTATTGTGAGGGATAGTTTGATACAGAGCCCGCTGTATTCACGAGGGTGCTTGAGCTCTGAGGGGCTGAAGGGCCCCTTCATGAGCTCGTGTAGCGTTGCCGGAGTAGGGCATCGTTCAACTTTCCCCGGCAGCGTGGCTGGCTCTAACTGGAAGTCGGCAAGATTTACAGAGGCTGTCAATCCAGTGTGAAGTTCCTCTTTGCCGCTCGTGTTTCCGCGACGCAGCAGATTGCATCCTCGAAGGCCGTAGTCCTTGGTCTCGTCGTCTTCCCCGTCGGTGAGTTTCCGATTCCCGGAGTCGCCGTGCAAGTCTACGGCGCAGTCGGGGGCCAAGATCATTGATACTCCTTCAATTTTTGAACCCCTTTCGCGTTCTCGCATGTCGGGTTTTCGACAACATAATGTGGCCGCAGAGGCTTCCGAAACAGCCGCAAGACGGTCCCGTAAGCGCAAGATGGCCACCAAACAAACCAGGAGGGCCCCCGAACGGGCCAGCAGGGCCCCCAAGACGGCCCAGGGAGGCCCCAAAGACGGTCGCCGAAAGCCAAAAGGCCCCCAAGTGGCCCCTCAGAGGTCCCTGAGGAGTCCCAGGAGGCCACAAGAGGGCCTCAAGATGCCTCCTCTTCCTCCTCCTCCTCCTGCTTCTACTCCTCTTCCTCGCTCTCCTCTTCTTCCCCTGTTTTTTCCCAAGTGTTTCCCCAAGGGTTTCCACAGCGAAAAGCTAGGACAAGCGTTGGCCAAACGCTTGCCCGCATCGGCATTTCCAGAAAGGCAGGGGGGGCAATGATTGCCGTAGGCGTCTTCAACATACTACAACACCAATTCCGACCAGGCTTTTCCTAGCCAGGTGATTGGTGTACTTGTGGTCCTTCTCGACCGCTGGCCAGGGTCAGGAAGGCCTATATACCAACTCATGGCCGGGGACTGGCCTGGCCAGATCTGGTGTCGGTGTTCAGCGTGCGTCCACTAAGCCTGCACAGAGCCCGTGGTGCCGTAGCTGCGCTTCAGCTGTGCGACCACGGGGTCGTGGGTCGTGCCCAAAGGGTTGTCCACGCTGGCCACCTTCGCGTTGATGACCGCCACCTGCGCCACGTTCTTGCGCGAGGTGCTGAGCATCCGAATCTGGTGGCTCAGCATCAAGTCCACTGGCGCGATCTGCGTGTGCTTTAGCACAGTGGCCACCATGGTCTTCTTGGCCACCGCCTCGGCGTCCGTCGCGAGGGTGAGGCTGGCAGCGACAGGAAGGAACGCCGCCACAACTGCAGAGCGGATGCAGGACGCCATCCTGCAGGGAATTCGATTTCTGGTCGATGGTGTGCTGAAGATCAAGTGCGCGGTTCGCGGAGGCGCCGAGCCTTCTCCTCGGAGGCCAGCTTGAGCCCCAACGGTTATAGCCAAACTGATGATACACGACAGGATGAGGGAGGGAGAAGGACACCTCGCGGATGTCTCTGGTTTTCTTGGCGGCATCGCCCCTATGCACCTCGAGACGGCTCAGGACTGGGGCCATGGCGCGAACAGGTGCGCGGGTCGCTGTCGAGATCAACGGCCACCGCATGTCACTTTCGGCACGCCTCGCACATTTCGTGGCACCGTAGGCAGCTCCACCGAAGGCCCCAGTGGCAGGGTTCGCACGGAGCCCCGCCCATGTCGGCACACCCCTCGCGCGTTCGTGCCCCCAAAGGGAGCTTCACAGAAGGCCCCGGTGGAGAGGTTAGCATGCTGCCCTGCCCGTTGCGGCACACCCCTCACACGTTCGTGGCCCCATAGAGAGCCCCACCCTCAGTGGCAAGGTCCGCTTGCTGCCGCACCCGTGTCGGCACACCCCTCAAGTGTTTAGTCACGGCAGGGTCCGCATCTCTTTGCCGCGCCCATGTCTTCGCAGACCTCGCAAGCTTCGTGGTCCCACAGAAATCTCTACCGACAGCTCCAGTGCCCGGGTTCGCATGCTGCCCTGCCAATTTTGGCGCCCCCCTCACCCAGTTCGGCGCCCCCCTCACGCGTTGCGTGGCCTCAGAAGGAGCTCCACCGAAGGCCCCAATGGCTGCGTTCGCATGACACCACTGCGCCCATGTCGGCACACCCCTCACACGTTTCGTTTCGTGGCCCGATGGGGAGCTCCACCGAAAGCTCCTCTGGCAGGTTTCGTATATATTTCGGCACACCTCTCGCACGTTTCGTGGCCCCACAAGGAGCTCCACTGAAAGCCCCAATGGCACGTTTTATATGGCGCCCCACCAATTGCGGCACACCCCTCACATGTTCCGTGACCCCATCGAGAGCCCACAGACCGCCGTGCCCTCACACGTTTTGTGGCCACACAGGTAGCTCCACCGAAACCCTGTGATCGCATGCCGCCGCACCCATGTCGGCACACCCGTCACACGTTTCGTGTCTCAATCCTCCTTCTCCTTCTTCCCAGCCATCCTGTGGTGTTGGGTCCTCAATGCCCCGCGTCTCCTTCCTCTCCTCCCCCTCCTCCCATCCGTGCCTCTGCAGTCCGCATGTCTCTGTTTCGGCACACTCCTCACATGCTTCGTGATCCCGTAGGGATCACCACCGATGACCCCAGTGGCTGCGCTCGCATGGCACCAACGCTCCCATTGCGGTACGCCCCTCACGCGTTTCGTGGCTCCGTAGGGAGCTCCACCGAAGGCTCCAGTGGCTACGCTCGCATGGCACCACCGCGCCCATGTCGGCACACCCCTCGCACGTTTCGTGGCCCGATGGGGAGCTCCACCGAAGGCTCCAGTGGCTGCGCTCGCATGGCACCACCGCGCCCATGTCGGCACACCCCTCGCACGTTTCGTGCCCGATGGGGAGCTCCACGAAGGCTCCAGTGGCTGCGCTCGCATGGCACACACCGCGCCCATGTCGGCACACCCCTCGCCACGTTTGCGCTGTGGCACTGTTTCGTGGATGGGAGCTCCACCGAAGGCTCCAGTGGCTGCGCTCGCATGGCACCACCGCGCCCATGTCGGTACGCCCCTCACGCGTTTCGTAGCTCCGTAGGGAGCTCCACCGAGGCTCCAGTGGCTGTGCTCGCATGGCACCACCGCGCCCATGTCGGCACACCCCTCGCACGTTTCGTGGCCCGATGGGGAGCTCCACCGAAGGCTCCAGTGGCTGCGCTCGCATGGCACCACCGCGCCCATGTCGGCACACCCCTCGCACGTTTCGTGGCCCGATGGGGAGCTCCACCGAAGGCTCCAGTGGCTGCGCTCGCATGGCACCACCGCGCCCATGTCGGTACGCCCCTCACGCGTTTCGTGGCTCCGTAGGGAGCTCCACCGAAGGCTCCAGTGGCTGCGCTCGCATGGCACCACCGCGCCCGTGTCGGCACGCCCTTCACACGTTTCGTGGCCCCACAGGGAGCTCCATCGACAAGGCTCCAGTGGCTGCGCTCGCATGGCGCCACCGCGCCTAGTTCGGCATACCTCTGAGACGTTTCGTGGACCCATAGGAAGCTCCACCGAAGGCCCCAATCGCCGCGTTCGCATGGCACCACCGAGCCCATGTCGACGTACTCCTCACACGATTCGTTGCCCCATTGGAGCTCCACTGAATTCTCCAATCGCTGCGTTCGCGTTGCACCGCCGCGCCCGTTCCGGCACACCACTCATCTGCCTCGTGGCCGCATAGGGAGCTCCACCGAAGGCCAGTTGCTACGTTCGCATGTCACCGCCGCGCCCACTTCGGCACACCCCTCACACGTTTCGTGGCCCCATAGGGAGCTCTACCGAAGACCCCAGTGGATGCGATCGCATGGCGCCACCGCACCTAGTTCGGCACCCCCCTCACGCCTTGCGTGGCCTCACTCCACCGAAGGCCCCAGTGGCTGCGTTCGCATGACGCCAACGCGCCAATGTCAGTACACCCCTTACACGTGTCGTGGCCCCACAGGGAGCTCCACCAAATTATCCAGTGGCTGCGCTCGCATGGCACCACGCGTTTCGGTACACCACTCGTGAGTTTCGTGGCCTAGGGAGCTCCGCCGAAAGCCCCAGAGGCTGCGCTCGCATGGCACCAACGTACTTGTTTGGGCACACCCTCTCACGTTTCGCAGCCCCATAGGGAGTTCCACCGAAGAGGATACCCACCACCTCGTTACTCAGAACTGCAAATGGTTGGGTTCTTCGCCAAGATGAGTTTCAAGTGCCTTGCGGCGCTGACACCTGCCTGTGGTTGGGCCTTTCGCCGAGGTAGTGTCGTTGTAATGATTCCCAGCCCTCCTGTGTGTCGGGTTCTCGTTTTGAATCGAGCACTGTGGTCTCCACCTCCCCCTTCTTATCCCGCCTCCTCCTGTGCTGCTCCATGGGTGGCTGCGAACTGCGCATCTGTCGCCACTTTCGTGGGCTCCTTGGAGGCACGGTGGAGGTGAGAGCAGCGCAGATCCCTGGGAGACCTTGCGGCTCCCTCGGGGGCCGCGAGCTGCGCAACCGTCGCCGCTTTCGTGGGCTCCTGGGAGGCGCGGCGGAGGTGAGAGCACCACACATCCCTTTGAGACCTCGCAGCTCCCTCGGGAGCTCCGACCTGCGCAACCGTCGCCGCTTTCGTTGGCTCCCGGGAGGCACGTGAAAGCAGCGCAGATCCCTCTGAGACCCCGCGGCTCCCTCGGGGGTTGCGAACTGTGCAACCGTCGCCGCTTTCGCGGGCTCCTGGGAGGCTCGGCGGAGGCGAGGGCAGCGTAGATCCCTTTGAGACCTCACGGCTCCCTCGGGGGCCGCGAGCTGCGCAACCGTCGCCACTTTCGCGGCCTGCAACCCCTGTGTTCTGCACTGCTTGGTCTGTCACTGCGTGCAGGAGCCTCACTGCTTGGCCTGTAGGAGCAACGGAAGCGTTCAGACCGAGATGGGAAGAGGCCGACGACGATGAGGATGAGGCACCGGAGGCGGACAGAGGGAAGGCGAGGAGGCCAAGCCAAGGCTGTTTGTTCTTCCCATCGCTCCCGCAACGAGGTAGCAATGCACCAGCACACCAGTGAAGAGGTCTACGTCTCTCTCTCTCTCTCTCTCTTTCTCTCATTCCCTCTCTTTCACTCTGTCCAGGCAATGCCTGGGGGGTCGCCATTGAGGGTGTCGCCACCTCCTCAGGACCCTCTCTGACCCACCTGGATCCCCCAGCAGCCCCAAGAATCCGAACGACGCCCCCCTTGGCACTGCTCTCTCTCTCTCTCTCTATCTCCCCCCTCCCGTCAGACGCTGCGCTGCCCGAGGTCGCGCTCGCTGGGCTCCGCCAGGAAGCGGCTGCGGCGGGCTCACCACGACTCGTTGACGCCCAGGGTGCCCCCCTCGAGAGACTTCTTGAGCCACGCCGAGTGGCCCCAGTAATGGTCCATGGCGATCGGCTCGCTGATCTCCTGCGTCTCCCCGTCGCAGGTCGCGACGTGAATCTTGAAGTAGGCGTTGCAGTCGCGGTAGAAGCAGACCTGGAGGCACTTGATCGCGAGCTTCTTGGCATCCTCGAGAGAGATGTCGGGCTTCCACTCGTTGCGCAGGATGGGCATAGCGAGGTAGGCGCCGAAGCCGGTCGCAATAAACTCTTCCTGGAAAGCAGTGCCCTGGTGGTCGATGAAGGCAAGATGCGATTCGCCCGACTCCTTCTTGCCAGCGACAATGAGCTGGTTGTAGAGCGGGTTCATCTTGCTACGCCGATTGTACATCACGCGGCCGATGTAGGAAGCGTACTCCTGTGGGCCCATGTGGCAGCCGTCCTCCTGGAGAAAATCCGTCATGTCGAGTTCGTCGAGCAGATCTCCAATGTACTGGAAGTCGCTGATCTCCCCGCTGGCCCCCAACAGGGTGTAGTTGCCGACTTTCTTCAAGCGACACACGTCCTTATACCGGGCCTGCGAACCGTATGAGGCCATCGTGTCTGCGGCCAGAAGGACACCGCCGGCGTACTTCATGCCAACAACAGTGGCGCCTTTGCAAATGGGGTGAGCCTCCTCCTCCTCCCACTCCTCCTCCTCCTCCTCCTCCTCCTCCTCCTCCTCCTCCTCCTCCTCCTCCGTCTCCTGTTCTTCGCCTGCTCTTCTTCCTCCCCTTGTTCCTCCTCCTCCGTCTCCTCCTCTCCCTCTCCCTCCTCCCTCCTCCCTCCTCCTCCTCCTCCTCCTCCTCCTCCTCCTCCTCCGTCTCCTGTTCTTCGCCTGCTCTTCTTCCTCCCCTTGTTCCTCCTCCTCCGTCTCCTCCTCTCCCTCTCCTCTCCCTCCTCCTCCTCCTCCTCCTCCTTCTCTCCTCCGTCTCCTTCTCTACCTCCTCCTCCTCCTCCTCCTGTTCCTCCTCCTCCTCCTCCTCCTCCTCCTCCTCCTCTTCTTCCTCCTCCTCCTCCTCCTCCTCTGACGCGCCAGTGACGATGGGCTGCAGCGTGTGCCTCTTCGGGTCCGCCGAGTACTGGCCAGGCGCCATCTTCCGAGGAGCCCTCACGCGCTAGGGCAGCGGGCTCGACGCGCGGTAGGGGACTCCAAGAGGCCCTCGTTCCGACCACCAGTCTGGTCCATTCCCTCCATCCTTCTTCTGTTTTGTGCTCTGTTGTTGGTTATTGGACGTTTCCTGGCCCCTCCCCTCCCCTCCCCCTCTCGTCCCCCTGCCCGCCCGTGAGGGGGGGGGGGAGGGGGGCAACCACGGGTGACGGCGAGGGGGAGTAACGGACGGACGAGAACCTCCCCCCCCCCCCACCCGCCCGCCTGCTCCCCATCCGCCACCCCCTATCCCCATCCTCCTCCTCCTCCTCTTCTTCCTCCTTCTCCTCGGCCTCCTCCTCCTTCTCTCCTCCTCTTCCTTCTCCACAGTGACTCAAGACGCATACTGCTCTCCTCCCTCCCCTGTTTTCGTGCCAGAAGGGTGCCGCCCTCTCAGTATTGTTAACATACACACACCAGTTGTTGTCAACGCTATGGTACAACATTGTGTATATATATATATATATATGGACAGCCCCCCTCAGCACCCATTCTTACCAGCCTTCACTTACGACGGTCGTGCTTTTCTGTTCCTCCTCCCCCTAGTTTTTTTCCTCTGTCTCTCTCTCTCTCTCTCTCTCCCTTTCTCTCTTTTTTCCTCGCTTTTTCCCCAAACATCCTGTGGTGTTGGGTCCTCGTTTTGAAGAGATAGCGCCCCGCGTCACTCCTCTCTTCCTCCCCCTCCCTCCTCCGCCCTCCTCGGGTCACCACCCTCCCCTTTGGCACAGCCCTCACTCGGAGCCCCACCGAAGGCCCAACTGCAAACGTTCGCATGCGGCCACCGCACCCGTTTTGGCACATCCCTCACTCGTTTCGTGGCTCCATAGGGAGCCCCACCGAAGGCCCAGATGCCAGCGTTCGCATGCGGTCACCGCACCCATTTTGGCACACACACACACACACCTCACACGTTTCGTAGTCCCATAGGGAGCCCCACCGGAGGCCCAAATGCCAGCGTTCGCATGCGGCCACCGCGCCCATTTTGGCACACCCCTCACACGTTTCGTGGTCCCACAGGGAGCCCCACCGAAGGCCCAAATGCCAGCGTTCGCATGCGGCCACCGCACCCATTTCGGCACCCCACCGAAGGCCCAAATGCCAGCGTTCGCATGCGGCCACCGCGCCCATTTTGGCACACACACACACACACCTCACACGTTTCGTAGTCCCATAGGGAGCCCCACCGGAGGCCCAAATGCCAGCGTTCGCATGCGGCCACCGCGCCCATTTTGGCACACCCCTCACACGTTTCGTGGTCCCACAGGGAGCCCCACCGAAGGCCCAAATGCCAGCGTTCGCATGCGGCCACCGCACCCATTTCGGCACCCCACCGAAGACCCAAATGCCAGCGTTCGCATGCGGCCACCGCACACCCATCGTGGTACACCCCTCACACGTTTCGTGGCTCCACAGTGAGCCCCACCGATGCGGCCACCGCACCCATTTTGGCACACCCCTCAAACGATTCGTGGCCCCACTTGGAACCTCACCGAAGGCCCAAATGCTAGCGTTCGCATGCGGCCACCGCACCCGTTTTGGCACAACCTTCACACGTTTCGTGGCCTCACAGGGAGCCCCACCGAAGGCCCAAATGCCAGCGTTCGCATGAGGCCACTGTACCCGTTTCGGCACACCCCTCACACGCTTCGTGGCTCCATAGGGAGCCCCATCGAAGGCCCAAAGTCAGCGTTCACATGCGGCCACCGCGCCCATTTTGGCACACACACACACCCTTCACACGTTTCGTGGCTTTACAAGGAGCCCCACCGAAGGCCCAAATGCCAGCGTTCGCATGCGGCCACCGCACCAATTCTGGCACACCCCTCACACGTTTCGTGGCCCCACAGGGAGCCCCACCGAAAGCTCAACTGCCAGCGTTCGCATGCGCCCACCGGACCCATTGTGGCAGACTCCTCAAACGTTTGGTAGCCCCATGGGGAGCTCCTCCGAATGCGGTGCATACAACGACGGTGTTCACAACTGCGTATGGTTGGGTCATAATTTTTGGTTCTCTCCCTTTCTCTTTCTCTCTCTGTCTGTGTGTGCCTTTTTTTTTTTTTTTTTTTTTTTTTTTTTTTTTTTTTTCTCTCTCTCTCTCTCTCTTAGACGCTTTGCGCCGGGGGGCGGTTGTTTCAACGTCCCCCGTACCTCAAGGTGTGCACCACCGCTGAGCGTGCAATGGCGGCCTTGGCAACCGCAGTGGCCAGCTGTCGACGGGACTCCTGTTTGCTTGTCCGATCTCTCTTTTTCTTTCTCGTTCCTTTTTTTTTTTTTTTCTCTCTCTCTCTCTCTCTCTCTTTGCCCCAGACACCCAACACAACCCATGTGAAATCACAAGGTTTGCGATGTCAGGGGTGCGGGAACCCTGTGTTTTCATGTGGATTTCCGGGGTAGATTGGATGAGAAGTGAGACAACCAATTTTTTACATTCGTTTTCTTTCCCAACCATCCTGTGGTGTTGGGTCCTCGTTTTGAAGAGACGGCGCCCCTTGTTCCCGCCTCCTTCCTCCCCCTCCTCCCTTATCCCATCCCTGCCTCTGCTCTCCACGTGCCGTCATCGCCATCACTATCGTCATCATCGTGATCACCATCGCCATCATCGGCGTCATCGACATCGCCACCGTCAGCGTCGTGACACGCCCCTCACACGGTTCGTAGCCTCATAGGGAGCTCCACCGAAGGCGCCAGTGTCGGAGGTTGTATCGTCAACGCCATCCATTACGGCACACCCCTCACACGGTTCGTGGCCACACAGGGAGCTCCACCGAAGGCTCCAGAGGCAGCGGTTGCATGCGTCAGCGCCAGCCGTTTCGGCACACCCCTCAAACGGTTCGTGGCCCCATAGGAAGCTCCACCGAAGGCTCCAGTGGCAGCGGTTGCATGCGTCACCGCCACCCAGTACGGCACACCCCTCACACGGTTCGTGGTCCCATAGGGAGCTCCTCCGAAGGCTTTAGTGGCAGCGGCTGCATGCGTCAGCGCCACCCACTTTGGCACACCCCTCACACGTTTCGTGGCTCCATAGGAAGCCACACCGAAGGCTCCAGTGGCAGCGGTTGCACGCGTCTACGCCACCCATTTCGGCACACCCCTCACGCGGTTCGTGGCCCAATGTGGAGCTCCGTCGAAAGCGCCAGTGTGGGAGGTTGCACGCGGCACCGCCACCCATTTCGGCATACCCCTCACACGGTTCGTGGCCTCATAGGGAGCTGCACCGGAGGCTCCAGAGGCAGCGGTTGCTTGCGTCAACGCCACCCAGTGCGGCACACCCCTCACACGTTTCGTGACCCCATACAGAGCTCCACCGAAGGCTCCAGAGGCAGCGGTTGCATGCGACACCGCCACCCAGTACGGCACACCCCTCACACGGTTCGTGGCTCCATAGGGAGCTACACCAAAGGCTCCAGTGGCAGCGGTTGCACGCGTCAACGCCACCCATGTCGGCATACCCCTCACACGGTTCGTGGCCAATCGGGAGCTCCACCGAAGGCTCCAGTGGCAGCGGTTGCATGCGTCAGCGCCGCCCATTTCGGCATACCCTCACACAGTTCGTGGCCCCATAGGGAGCTCCACCGAAGGCTCCAGTGGCAGCGGTTGCATGCGTCACCGCCACCCATTTCGGCATACCCCTCGCACGGTTCGTGGCCCCATAAGGGAGCTACACCGAAGGCTCCAGAGGCAGCGGTTGCATGCGTCAGCGCCACCCATTTCGGCACACCCCTCACACAGTTCGTGACCTCATGGGGAGCTCCACCGAAGGCTCCAGTGGCAGCGGTTGCATGCGTCAACGCCGCACATTCTGGCACACCCCTTACGCGTTTCGTGGCCCTATGGGGAGCTCCACCGACGGCGTCAGTGCCACCGCCCGCATGCGTCACCGCCACCCATTTCGGCACACCCCTCACACGCTTCGTGGCCCCATAGGGAGCTCCACCGAAGGCCCCAGTGCCACCGCCCGCATGCGTCACCCACACCAATTTCGGTACACCACTCATACGTTTCGTGGCCCCATAGGGAGCTCCACCGAAGGCCCCAGTGCCACCGCCCGCATGCGTCACCCACGCCCAATTCGGCACATCCCTCACACGTTTCGTGGCCCCATAGGGAGCTCCATCGAAGGCCCCAGTGCCATCGCCCGCATGCGTCACCCACACCCCTCACACGTTTCGTGGCCCCATAGGGAGCTCCATCGAAGGCCCCAGTGCCACCGCTCGCATGCGTCACCCACACCGATTTCGGCACACCCCTCACACGGTTCGTGGCCCCATAGTAGGGAGCTCCACCGAAGGCCACAGTGCCACCGCCCGCATGCGTCACCCAGACCCATTTCGTCACACACCTTACACGGTTCGTGGCCCCATAACGAGCTACACCGAAGGCCCAAGTGCCAACGCCCGCATGCGTCACCCACACCTAATTCGGCACACCCCTCACACGTTTCTTGGCCCCATAGGAGGGGGCTCCACCGAAGGCGTCAGCGCCACCGCCCGCACGCGTTATTCACACCCATTTCGGCACACCCCTCATACGTTTCGTGGCCCCATAGGGAGCTCCACCGAAGGCCCCAGTGCCACCGCCCGCATGCGTCACCCACACCCAGTTCGGCATACCCCTCACACGTTTCGTGGCCCCATAGGGAGCTCCAACGAAAGCCCCGGTGCCACCGCCCGCACGCGTCACCCACACCCATTCCAGCTCACCCCTTTCGCGTTTCGTGGCCCTATAGGGATCTCCACCGAAGGCGTCAGTGCCACCGCCCGCATGCGTCACCCACACCCATTTCGTCACACCCCTCACACGTTTCGTGGCCCCATAGGGAGCTCCACCGAAAGCCCTGGTGCCCCAGTGGCTGCTTTCGCATGCGCCCACCGGACAAGCTTTGGCATACCCCTCACACGATTCGTCGCCCTATAGAGAGCTCCTCCGAATGCGGTGCATACAACGACGGTGCTCACAAGTGCATATGGTTGGGTCCTTCGCCAAGCTAATTTTTGATTTGCATCCCTCCAGCGAGAATCAAACCCAGGAGCCTTTCCAGGAGCTCCGTCATAAATCCAAACAATCCAACTGAAGACGCATGGTTTCTTCACT